ACTGGTGGCCTGAAGTAGTAAACCACCATGTAACTAGGCCCCTTAGTATTTTATCGGAAATGAACAACGTGTATCTTCTGCATTCATGTTGTAATCTTTGTTAGGTTTCTCAGCGTTTTGCGGATAAGGGATTAGTCTAATTACAAACGGTCTCAAAATTAGTTTGATAAGTGAATACAGAGCAACACACGCAGCTTCTGTTAACCGCATATTCAGGTGTGCCGATTTTCTTAAAAGAAAATCAGTATATGGTGTCACGTCTTCAGGATTTCTTTAATACCCCACTAGGCGCTTTCCTCTGTAGATGCAAACTTTGTTTGGCGAAATATTTTTGCACCTTGACTGGGTTTTGGAAAGTTCTTTTAGAGCAACTGGAACTGCGAAATTGTTCTAGCCCTGAACCGCCAGTGCTGTTTTCTAATTTTTTGGATTTTAGTTCTTCATGGAGGAACATTTCATAATGATTAGTGGTCCTGCTATCAAGGACTTGGGCCTTTGGTCACACCCTCCGATATGTCAGTTACACAGTTAGCCACACCTCTGACTCCCTTAACACCGTGACATGACCAAGTGCAGATTCCGCTGAAGGGTTTCGGTCACCCAGCGACAGCAGAACAGAATGATGTGGTCTACAGACATGTAAACAACTTTACACACAAAGGCTGGTTCGTCCTGTTCATAAGGACACTAATGGATATCTGGAACGCTTTTATTCAACAAGTTGTCGAAAACCATATTATGTTTGCCTTTTGGTGCCATTTTCACGTCCCAGAGAGATGAGTCACGGGTTTACTGAATTCGGTTATCACTGTGTAACTTCACTGTACACCTTTTTATTCTGCGCGCTTTCCCACTTGAAAAAGAGCGTTTCATCATGTTGCCTCTTCATGCCATTTTCGAGGATCCAGAGATCATCATGAATGAAGTTTTAGTTTATTTTTCAGGTGATCATAGTTGTATCACTGTCGCCACTTGAAAAATAATCTCCGCAAATGATATTTATAATTGTAAGTGTCGTTCCGGATTCATTTGGATCATTTTGACAGGTTTCCTGAAACGGTTCGCTTGTTATCAGTGTGGTTTGACACCAGTCAAACTTGGGCTATTCTTCAAACAGCTCCGGACTGTTATGGGCTTATAGGAATTTTCCCACTGAGAACTTGACAGACGCAGAGGCCAATCACTAATTATTCGAACTCGTTATATACCCACCAATACGAGACCAAGGAACAACACAGTAGTGTAGTCAGATAGGATAGTGACCTGGAGGGGTAGTGACAAGATATCGACACGTTCCCAGAGACTGGATGGTCGAGTATGAGCAGTTCAACGTAAAACCACAGCGTGCCAAATGGAGAAAATGCTTGACCAGGTGCCTTCAGCTCAGCGAGTCCGGTCAAACTATGAAGGTCAGCGTCGAATCTCATCGAACCCTAGGCTATTGATTATGGAAAAGTGTTTGAAGCTAAAAGCTATCCACCATTGTTCCACCGGCTACGGAGAATGTCTGTTTTACAGCCGTCCTGAAATTCATATCATAGTTGATTTGCGTTTCTTTTTCACACTGTGTCGACTTGTAACCTAGAAGCTAGCGTCCCGGCTTTAAGTTGAACCTCATTTGCCACAAGTTTTTGCCCTGGTGTGACCGTAACCTTGCCACCGAGACGAAATTTCCCGGCCATCTCCCTGTTCACTGCATTCTGACTTAGATACGAACTGCATAGAGGAGGAAACACTTCTTATCTAGTATCCAAAAGAGGCTTCCTGGATAATTTTCCTCTTGATAAGTTGTGACTTGGTGTACTTCTGAAACGAGTCGAAAGCTGTTTACGATTGCGCTAATCCGTCCTTCTCACTCCTCTTTCAACGTGTCCACACATTTTTGTGCTTAACTTCAGATGATAAGATGGAGGATGCCAGTGCTGGATTGCATCCCCTCTGAAAAAAGTAAGTGCTGCGGAAGTAAACAGTGGTCAGTAATCTGCTGCCGTGACGTTTAATCTGCCAAAGCAGCTGAGTAGTGGATCAGTCAAGCGACCTCAGGTTTTGTCCTCTACTATGGCCCGTAACACCGCCAAGATACTTGCTACAAGCAGGCAGTATTTGCCATGGCGTTTCCGCCTCCAGTGGTAGATATAGGGTATTTGTGAAGGATTTATCGGTGCTAATTTGCTGGCAGAGTGAGACAATATCCTCTGGATTCCTCAAAAAAGCCTGGAATTCCCTGAAAAGCCTCCGAAGCCAATTGTGGTATAATGATTTGACTATCTGAAATAGTCGTAGTTTGGCAGACTAGTATTTGTACTGGGTGATGACTGAAGGTGACGTGAAAATCTGAACCGCGGCAGGATTCGAAACAGCGACCAGCGGGTTGCTGGCCCGGTCCTCTACCAACTGAGTTGCAAGGTCCGACTGCTGACCAGATTTTTATTTCCTTTCAGTCACCAAGGGTTTTACCCGACTACCATGCGGATTTGTGGAGAGCAACGTAATCATACGCGTGAAACTCGAATTGGCCAAAGGGTTTTTTAGAACGGTATGGAACGTACCAAGACCATGGAAAACACACATGAACCACTGCTTTTTGTAAATGTGACTCAATAGTAAATCCGTCATCGATGCTCCTGCTTCTTTCCGTTTTGGAGGGAACAACGGAACATAAGGAGTGAGGCTTAAAGTTATTTTTTAAGCGCCAAAATATATATATAACTCTGGGGAACTCCACCTGGACGTTCTATTACTAGATGCGTAAAAAAAAATCTAAATAAACAACCACATAGATATAAGGAGAATCAATCGATGAACGGTAAGGCGGCCCTGATTAACTTCGATTAATCAATAATCAATAGTAGTTAAAGCAATTAAACGCCTTAGTAAAGTCTGGATGAATACATTCAGAAATGTGGATTAGCACTCACGATACATATACATACGCACTCGTCCAAAACTTCATTTTATTTAAAGTGTCTTTACTCCGTCCTGGTCATGCGTTTTATCTATGAACAACATACACTGTAGTAATTTGCCTAGGTAACAACGTACTACCATAGCTTCTGTAAACTGCTTGTTGATCAGCTGAAAGTACCACTGTAAACCATATGGTAAAGATAAACTCACATAAATACGCCGGTGATCCTAAAGACCATTCTAGCAACGATTCAAATAACCAGTTAGATGCTCCAGGCAAAATAACAAGCCTGACTGGTTAATCCAGTTGTTGTGATGGTTATTAAAGTCACCCGTTGAAATGACCAATCAGTTTTCGTATTTCGTCCAGAAGGGTAGTTTCTCATAGAATAGAGAAGCGTAAATGAGTATCTCGGGAGTTGTTAGGGTATCTTTACGGTCACTCAAGCGGGCGAAACACTACACCGTTATAACCTACCGAGTGAATAATCATCTAAATTCGAAGTAATTTCTACGTGGATAATCACTAGACCTTAATAAAAGCGTATTTCATTCTGCAGATTCGCCAAAACATCCGTCTACTGGCTTCTTCAGGAGCATGACCTTAAGAGCCATCTTGGCAACTGCTCAAGTGACTAATCACGCTGCGGTAATCCGTTTGGGATGGTGTATCTGCACAAAATAAAGAAACATAATTGGTTATCTCACTACGTGTTAAGGTGGCCTTTTTCTTCACTCCCGGCTGGATGTATAGTATAAGTTATCCCCAGATAAATATGCCTGTTTCCTTTCCGTCAACCTCAAGTAACTGAATCGGAAGCAGGTTTTTCACATTAATTGTACCCAGGTGGCAGTTGTAGACAATGGGCTTGTTTTCGTGAGGTTAATGACTGAATGGAAATTTTTATGGTTTAAAATGTCATGATGATCACCACCCATTCTCTGGAAGCAATAAATTGCTGGTTTTTTCTTTGTGGGCGTATTCTCTGACATTTGCGTCAAAAGCCCTAGACGCTGCATAATAATTAGGCTGACGATGACTTCCAAATTCATAGGTTTTTACCTTTCAATAAAGTGTTCGGGTTTACTTGAACAGCGAATCATCTGTATGTCAGCTGTATTTTCCTTTATTTTGGGTCTTCGGTCTTTCGACCCCAATACACGTCCATTGTGTCTTCTCTATTAATTAGTCGGGTCAGGAATCAACTGAGGACACTCAATATCCATGCACCGTTAGCGGCCAAAACATATAGAATTTCAAAACCATAACTGTAATGGTAATTCCGCATGATCCTGACATGTCTAGAATAAGGCGTAAAGATAGCTTCAGCTTTCTGGACTTTGATAGATCATGGAGTGTAGGTATATTTTGGGATGGGTAAAGTATCCTGCGTCTCATAACTTCTAATTCCTGCGATATGGTGGTGTAAACAAACATGAAGTGCCGTTTCCGATAGGACAACACACTTGTTCACAGTTGATTTGTTCCATTTTATATTGGATTTAACGATAAAAACTAGAATTTCTTCCGATTTCAGTTCTTGGATAACATACTCTTATAAGCGAACTGGTATGATGCAATGAAGATTCGTGAGACGTATATTCTATGTTTATTGACTGAAAAGCATTACGCCATATAATTAAGATGAATTATTTAGTTAGTAACTTCTACGAAACACTTTTTAGGGAATCAATGAACACCTTGATTAACCATATGAATTCAGCTAGTGATCTTATGAATGACTACTGAAGTGTAGATGTACAAGATAACGTACTGCACGCATAAGTACAAAGAAACTTTCATGATTGAAAAACTAGACAGTGTACGTTGTACAAAATCTGGATTTATACCGCTGGTGGTTATTGAAAAACATCTACTGGTGGGTGACCTAATGCTTACTACAACAAACCACTTCCTATGACGTTACACTAACATATTAATTCGTAGTAAGTTAAGCACTATAGTTGCAGTTTCCTTTTAGCAATCATAAAGGTCAGTTTCAACATTTTTTTTACCATATCAAAGTACAAAAAACAGTATTTTTTTGAGATATGCAGGAGAGTACCAAAATGATGTAATCAGGCGATTGAAACTAAACAATTTCTTTCCTTCCCGGTTCAGCACGATAACCAACATTAGTGCCTTCGGATCTTGCCAAGCAGGAGATTGGTGATGATATACGACGACCACCCATACGAAATTCTTCTGGTGTAGTTACATGAAATCCCATTGTTTTCAATGACTCCACATCATTCTCTGAGCTAAAAGAATAAATGAAAACTGATAGAATCTGAGATTCGGTTAGTGAGATAAATAATAAATGTAGAAGTATACAACAGCCTAGGTTGCTACATGTCACAAGAATGAACAACGAAAGATGATATTTGAAGACGAATTGGAACTGTAAACTTTTGACGGAAATTTGGGTGAACTTTCAGAAAACAACGGGTAGCCATGATTATTAAGGATATTTTTCCATTGACATCTTCATGCTAAATAACGGCTTCGGTTCACGATAGGAAGACATCACAATGGCACCCCCATCTAACAGAACTGGACGCTAACATTCTGTTATGTTATAATTTCTTTCTCCAACCAACGAATTTCTTACCTATTGCACAAACCTAAACCTGAAGGCAGTGGAGATTCAAAATAGCTTTCTTCGTTCTATTCAGTGACTGAAATAAATAGCCACTAAGATTATTTGTCTCACCAATAAGATTTGGATAGATCCGCAGCTGGCACAGTAAACTAGCGTCGACATTCCCTCTATAACTGAACTAGTGGATACAAATCTCAAGATATATAAAGTAGCTAGTAGACGGGAGGATTCATCTCCTATTACCTTACAAGGTGAAGATGAAAACACGGTATGTAACGTGTTTCAGCACCACTACAGATGACCATAAATACGGGATGCAAAAAATACAGGCTTGATTCTCTATCTAGACCTAGTCATAAAAATCTTCGATCAAGTACCGAACCAAAAGATAGAAGAAAGAAGGAACCCTACGCAAATGTGTGGCTATGTGAAATGCTATATTTGTGACACACTACCCAAGTGGAGTAATGTATCGCAGCTTGTTGCAGTTATGCGGTAACATAAACTCATAGAACGCATGATGACGATTAAGAGTTTACGTCATACAAAACGTATTCACATCTTTACAACCTGAACCTTAGCAATATGGCTAAGCAACCGTGGTAATTCAACCATAATTAAACAATTTGAAGGTCTGAAAGGTTAAGCAGCATTCCTATGAAGTGTGCTCAACGAATTAACAGACAGGCAGAATCCGAAAGAACCAAATGGAATAAAAACTCAGAGAGAATAAGACTATAGTTTTGCTCCTACTTTGCTAATCCTGCAGCACCCACAAACTCAACGAATGTAGTATCGAATATTAAGCATTTTCCTGGATGTTTTTCAGAAATACGTCTAAAAATTAAGAATAAGTGTTTACCTAAGAAAGAACGCTAAACTTCTCCATAGGGAATTTTCTTAGCAAGTTTTATTCATTCATCACAGGTGATCTAACTAGTTTTGACAAATTGGTCTAAACATTCCGCAAGGTCGGGGACTTTCAGTAACTACACTGTTTACGCACAGAAAATAATCTCAAAGCAAATTTTTTAAGGATGTGACTGCCTCTAGAAAAGTTAAATCTTTTAAGCGCTAATATTCTAGTTGATTTTTGATAAAACTTATACGTAATTCATTTCACCATGAGTGAAAAGTGCTTCTTCTTCTTCTTCTTCCACATTCATTTTTCAAATCATAACAAGATATGTAGGTGAAAAAATATTGTTTTCTACTAGATCACCTCAAAACTTACTTTCCATACGCATAAACTTACTGATACATAAAACATCTAACCAATAATGATGATTTTTGAGCTAGTAATAACAGTTTACTTGAAATATACAGTTAAAAGTTAACAAAGTAACAACAATCACTATTAATGATGTTATGGGAAATACCAGCGACGACATGAATAGGATAATGAACGCGGTATGATAATGCATATATTTCAATAAAGGCAGATAAAAACTAACAGGAAATTAATTTTTCATAATATTAAGGAATGAATTTGATGTGCAGTGACCGGATAATACTAGATTTGGGATTTCTCCCAACTGATAAGTTTGGGAACCAACGAATTGTTGTTAGTACACTATACAAATACTCTAATCGATTAATCACCGATGTAAGATAAGGCGCCTAGTTTTATTAATTCAGTGCGGATTTATATATATTTAACTACTCCTATGAAGAGAGCCTTATTGGTTACACTACTAAGTAACTTAACACACGTTGTTGAGCATTTACCTTCGGGACTAAGAGACCAACAAGTGAGGTCAATGATAAGTTCGATATTGTCGTACCTGCTAGACAGTGGTCACACAATAGAAAAGTTCATAGCGTTTAGAAGTAATTTATCACATTTAACTGAAACAGTCAAATATAAATGCTTTCCGAAAATGGTTGAAACTATCGCAACTCAAACCAACAACGATAGTTTCTGTATTCAGGAAAAGTTCATAAAACCATTATCTTGATCTTGACCAACGAAGACTTTATGAACGGTATTACCGGTCCAACCACTTTTTTTATTTTTCGCCCCTTTCATATAATTACTGCATTTGTTTAGACACCGATCACTAACTTTGTCATAATAGACAGATAATCAATATTTCCAACAAATGGATTATTTTAAGCAATGTGATTTATTCAATATGGAAATTTATAGAGATTTATTAATTGATTTCAGGTTGGAATTCATCATGGACTGACATCAGTTGAAGTAACACTGAAAACTTGGGAGCATTGGACAGCTGTTTCACCCCACTAGTATGGGACTCCTCATATGTGCGCACCCACGACCCCACTATATCAGGGATCGGACCCAGGACCTTCAGGTCCCGGCGGCCAGCATGATACCACTGAGCCACTGGATCAGGTTTCAGTTGTCTATATTTCCTACATTTGTCAGTCCACGACATAATGCAACCTTCATAGAATGTTGTCGTTAACTGTCCTCATGTTCGACTTGGCTGGCTCCACTGGTCACGACTTCTCATTGGAACCTCGGGAATCACCTCTCCCAATGGTAACGTGCTGGTCGCGGAACCTGAAGGTGCTAGGTTCGACCACTAGCGGGGTCGTGGGTGTGCACTGCTGAAGAATCCCATACTAAGATGAAACAGCTGTTCAGTGCTCCCAGGTTTCCAGTGTTCCTCCAACTGATGTCAGTTCATGATGAATTCCAACTTGAAATCAATTAGATTCAAACAAATCTTTTCTTTTCAGTCTTGTCTTCTTTGAATCTGAGTAGTGATCGAGCACGTAGTTAACCATGGAATTGTGGCTCATTGGTTTAGGGAGGTGACTTTCAACCAATGAGTCACGGGCTCGGGCCCCGCTTCACCTACCAAGATTTGGGCAGCCAGATAGAATCACTAGCCCTTATACAATAGATGTCGCTTACTGGCTACTGCATGAATGTGCACAAGGTTGCTGAGTGAATTTCAATTCGATTTTTCGAATCGAAGTAGTTAACTTTTGTCGTGCGTCAGAGTATTCGTGAATGAACAAGACAGTTCAGTTGGGAGAAATCCCAAATTTAGTGTTATGCGACCATTCTACATTTATTTCTTTCCTAAATATTATGCAAAATTTATTTTCCCAAGTAAGCTATCATCTGATTTGACTGCTAAAGTCTCTCTATTGTCATACTACCTTTATTATTCACGACGTCACCAGTATTTTTAAGGTACACTTTACTCGGAATTCATAAATCAAATATACATTTGATACCTACGATGTCAATGATTAACTAGCTGTCACAAGTATGGGAAATCTTAAGATGCTATCCAGAGTAAATTGGAAAACCATAGTTTAGAAGGTGTATTTCAGTTTTCTCAAGAACTTAACCATGTCGATGTTTCAGATAACCTCATGGTGTCATACGATATGATATCCATATATGCAAATATACCAGTGAGTGAAACGATTGACAATCTGTCAACAAACTGATCTACTTCCGTTGCCCAAAACTGAGATGAAACACTTACCACCTGTTTTCACAAAAGATCAGTTCCTATTCAATAACCAGCTACATCGATGGATTGATGGAGTGGTCATGGGTTCAACTCTAAGATATTTCCTGGAACGTATCTTCATGGGGGTTATCTGGAACAGACGCGGGTGACTGAGACCAGTCACCGGATAAACGATTTATTACCACAGGTACTTTGATGACACATTTGTTGTTTGTAGTGATATAAAACATGCTACTCAGTTGTTCGACAAGCTCAACATCACTAAATTTAGAATGGAATGTGAGCACGACAAGTTTAATCAGCTGGATATCATCATGAGAAGAATAAATGATGGTACGATTGGAAAGACCGTCCATAGAAACGATACATGGACCTGACAATATCTTAACTGTAACAGTTTCTGTTCTGTCAGTTGTAGGCGTCAACTAGTCAAAGCACTTAACAACAGACCTAGAAACCTATGTTTTATGGACAAGTTACAGGAAGAAATCAACACTATTGAGAAGCGTCTTAACGAAAACGGAGGAGGTTCATTATGAAGTATAGAAAAGAACAGGTTGAGAGAGCTAAGCCCCCAACAGTTGAAAACAAGCAGAATTTTATTCACCTTGGACTCAAGTGACATTCAATATCCAAGAATCAAATGAGCATTAAAAAAAAGAAGCTTATCTACAACCAAACTATTGTCAGTATACGATACCACATGCTCAGTGAACTAGTTCAAACTGCGTAGACAGTCTGCTCATGTTACCTCTGCCCGCATTTATGAATTTACATGCGCTTGCTATAAAAAGTGTATTGGAAGGACTGAGAGGATGACATCCATTTGATTCGTTGAGCACATTAAGAAAAATCTGTGCTTGAAAGGAGGCAAGATTTGAACTAGTATAATTGACAGATACAGGAAATCATGTTGATACTTCTAAAGCCCTAAAAATTAATAACGTACAGAAAACGTCTGGATTACCACGCTTCGTGGATATGATCACTATGAAACACTTTGAACCCGACGTCTGCATACTTTGCTTTACTCACCTAGTGATTTTAACCCACTAAGTTGATCTTAACCGATGAAAAGAGCCTAGAAGATTTGGATTTCGCCCATGATGATTTATGTCTAATGTCGAACAAACTCGAAGATCTACAGGCGAAAACCAACAAGTTGACTGAAGAGGCAGGGCAGCGAAAACGGGACTTCAAGTGAATGTAGAGAAGACAAAGGTGATGAAGATACCCAACCAACAACAGCACTAACAACAAGCACCAATCATCACTAACGGGAGAAACCTAAAGGAAGTAGCCTCTTTCACCTACCTATGTACCTAGGCAGCATCCTTTCAACTGTAGGCAACGGCGGTACAGGTGAGGATGTCAAAACCAGCATCGGAAAAGCAAGACAGGCTTTCATTAATCTGAAAGCAGTGTGGTGATCTACTGCACTCAGCACAAAGAACAAGATCCGGATTTTCAACGCCAACGTCAAGTCAGTGCTGCTATGTGGTCCAGATACTTGGCAAGTCATGAAAGGCACTTCCAACGAACTACAGACATTCATCAATAACTGCCCACGTTGGCTCGATACTGAAGATCAGATGGCCAGAAATAATAAGCAACAAGAAACTCTGGGAACGAACCAACCAAGAACCCATCGTCCAACAAATATGCAGAAGAAAGTGGAGATGGATTGGATTGGATTGGACATACACTGAGAAGACCGATTGGGGACATCACCGTCCAAGAGGTCCAATGGAACCTAAATGAGATACAACGAGCTGGAAGTCCAAGGTGAGAGTGACATGGAGGAGATTGTGTGAGGAAGAAATGAAAGCTTGTGGGCAGTCATGGAGCCAGGTTCAAAAGACTGCAGAGAACACAGTGAAATGGCGACGTGCTACTAAATCCTTATGTTCCACTAGGAACCCAGGAGAAAAATAATAATATTAAGTTGTTTTCAATATCGTGTATGTCATTTTTTTAATGCTAATAACCACTGTAATTTCAAACTGTATGCAGCTAAGGAATGCGCGTGAATTAAAATGATATCATTTTAATCTGTAAATCTAGTGCTTCTTGTTTTGGTCAAATTTATCAAGGGATTCAAATGGATGGAACAATTATTGTTGTTATTTTAACAGCTATTAAGTTGTATATCCCACAAACTTGTTGGCACTGTTTGAAAAATTACCATGATTTGTTAAGTGGTTTATGTGTCAGTTAGGCTCTGTATACGAGAGTAAGGTATGAGGAGACATAATTGAAGACAACATTTCTTTGCTCACATGTCTAGTTGTGAGTTGAATTTCCAACATACTCTATTAGTAAGTAAATAAGAAACTAGATTCTAGTAATGAAGCATGAAATGTAGCTTTAAAGCTGAGCACTGACTGACTCCTAACACTTCAAACAAACATCGGGCAATGCATACTAATGCCTTGTCACTTAGTTTACTCACCTTTTTGCAGCAGAATTTTTGCAACTGGGAATGATGAAATTCTAAGAAATTGACAGTCGACTTATATGAACTTTGATTCAGAGACTTACGTTACTACGTTCATGATTCTTAAATCAACTTGTATGTAGTTTACACACTAAGGAAAGATTACCGAAATTTGTGAGTATGATGGTAGTTCGGTGTTCTCTGAGTTTTGGCGTTTTGTTGTGGACGTTTCATCATCAGGCTTGATGATATCTTCAACCCTAAATTCACAACTTCTCTATGAAGTCAGTGCTGAGGATGCCATCAATTCTAGTGATGAAACATCAACAACAAAATACCAAAATTCAGAGAACACAGAACCACCATCATCACTCATCCTGAACTACAAATCTCTTCCATCATTTCGAATCCTCAGCATATAGCCAAGTCACTTCGATACAATAGACACTGAATAGTAAATAAAATACAACAAAAAGTGAGAAAACAGAAACACTTACTTTTCATAATCCAAAGTAACTGAAAGTAAATTACGTCCATAGACACGATCAAGCATTTGTAACAAACCAAGTTGTAGACTAGACACTTGATCCGAAGGCGTATAACCATCATATGCTGATCTAGCAATAGTAATCATACAAGGATTGTGTAAACGATTTAAAAGACCTTCCATTTGTTCACGTAGCTCATTCTGTTCTTTAGGATTAGTAACCTTAGAATAAAAAAGGAATTCCATTGAAACAGCCTAGAGTAAGGCTTACATAATTCATTCTGGAGGAGGTGAACCCAAAAGAGTTTCCCAATAGTTAATGAACTGTTCTCTATAAAGCATGAATAAAACCCATGGTGCTAAATGATGTATAATCATTCAAACGGCACACTGTAACATCTAAAATGGCTGATCACTCCGTTTCAAAAGAAATAACTTCACAGATTAAGTCGCCAAACCTTAGACAATAATAGTGTCAGTTAAGGCGACATACAGTTCATCAGATCCATATGCGTTTATGTACCAGGAAACCATTGGCACTTAATATATGCAGGCCTGTGATACTGTCCGATTACTTCTAAAGCAAAAATGGGATAGTCGGGGGTCCGAACATTGGACTTATTGTTTGAAAGTTTAGTGCTAAGTCCCTTAGCCACATTACCACATTTTATGTGAATGAAACTTGAACTTACTTACTGGATGTGAAATGAGATATTGGATAATGCGGTTTCATTAACGTCACACCATGCAATTAAGGGGAAGATGCAAAAAAAATCAACACAGAACCTGGCACAGAAGTGCACTACTTCAATTTGTCACATTTTACAGAAAAAGAATGACAATAAAGTAGACAAAAGAGTATAAGGCGAGAGAGAACAAAGAGATGAGGGTTGTTGAAAGTACTCAAGAGTTCAAAGAAAACTAAAGGGGAATAAACCTGTGCTATTGTGACCCATTTCGGGCAGTATCGACGATTCCCCGAATATTGACTCCTATTACTTCAAAACAGTCAGCCTATACTTGCGAAAACAGCTTAGATAAACAGACATCAAACGAACAAAAAGCACTCAGCCACCTTGATCACATCCGTGCAGTATGCAATGAGCTACACCTGTTGTGTAGGGGCTAGTGATACTACCTAGGTGCCTAAACCTCAATAGGTGGGGCCAGGCTCGAACCCGTGGCTCACTGGTTGATAGTCATCTCCCTAAACCAATGAGCGACAGCTCCATAGATCAACAGTCAAAAACTTAATGTACATGTGCGATTTCTTAGTCTGGTTACCTTTAACTTTCTTCTACCTTGATAGCAATTCATTAAAAGTCGCACATTAAGGTAGACAGAAGTTCGGTATACGCGATTCACGTCCAAGTCAATAGAGTGGGTGAAAGTTCATAAACTTATCAACTGCCTTGCTTTCCTTGCTTAGTGTTCTACACCTAACACCAACAATACATGGTGATTTCATCACATGTATGTGGTGCTACGAAGATACCTATATGTTGTAAATAAACTGTACTCTCCTCACTTCTTATATTTTGACAACCATATATCACAATTGTATGAGTAAAAAGAACGGACTAACCATCCTTTGATATGTAGTTGAGTATATCACCAGCACAGTACACAGCGTGGGCTGACACATACTAGACAGGAATTTCATATCCCAAGTGAAATATCACTAGTAGCCAACCCATTCTGGCTGATGCAACTCCACATTTAAGTGAAGTGGTTACTTCACTACGTGCAGATCAGTCTTGAAGCATCATTTATCTTACTGCTGACAGATACAAAAGATGTGTCAAACATACTCAGATTTCGGTTCAAAGTGTTCACAAAAATCTCCATTTCTGAGAGTTTTCGCCTAACAGGACTAGGTCGTCTGTGTAACTCAAGACAGGTAAATGTTTTCCCATGAGTTAAGGAATTCTGAAGCACGTCGAGTCATATCCATTTCAAAATCTACATAAAAGTTAAAGAGGGATGGTGATAGTACGTATCCTTGGTGGACACTATGGGTTGTATTATTATTATTTTTATTATTAGTCCCTTGGGTTCCTAGTGGAACATAGGGCTTCAGTAGCACGCCTCCAGTGACCTCTGTTCTCTGAGATCTTTTGAACCTGGTTCCACGACAGCCCAGAAGCTCTCATTTCCTCCTCGCACGACCTCCTCCATGTCACCCTCGGACGTCCAACTCGTCGCTTCCCATGGGGATTCCACTCGAGGGCCTGACGCGTGATGTCCTCAGTCGGCCTTCTCAGTGTATGCCCAATCCATCTCCACTTCTTCCTGCATATTTGTTGCGTGATAGGTTCTTGGTTGGTTCGTTCCCAGAGTTCCTTGTTGCTTATTTTTTCTGGCCATCTGATCTTCAGCAGCGAGCGTAAGCAGTTGTTGATGAATGTCTGTAGTTTATTGGAAATACCTTTCGTGACGCGCCAAGTCTCTGAGCCATACAAGAGCACTGACTTGACGTTGGTGTTGAAAATCCGTATCTTGTTCCGCATGCTGAGTGCAGAAGATCTCCACACTGGTTTCAGGCTAATGAATGCCTGTCTTGCTTTTCCGATTCTGACTTTGACGTCCTCGTCCGTCCCGCCTGTAGTTGAAACAGTGCTTCCTAGATAAGTGAAGGAGGTTACTTCCTTCAAGTTTCTACCGTTGACGGTGATTGGAGTTTGTTGTTGTTGTTGATGGTGGTGGTGCGGTATCTTCATCACTTCTGTCTTCTCTATATTCACCTGAAGTCCCGTCTTCGCTGCCTCTTCTGTCAACTTGTTAGTTTTTGCCTGCAGATCTTCAAGTTTATGTGACATTAGGCACAAGTCATCGGCGAAATCCAAGTCTTCTAGGTTCTTTTCCGTCGTCCAGTGTATCCCCCTCTTCTCGCTGCCTACTGTTTGCTGCATGATCCAGTCCACCACAATAAGGGTTGTAGTTACTCCGAATGGAAACTCTCCATAAGCCGTTACATGCTTGCCAGAATCTGAATATTAGTTATCACCTCGTTATCATCTCTTTTACAATGCTCTCTCTCTGTTTACTCACTCAACAAACTCATTACCCTAACTCCATATCTGGGGAGAATTGTGACTCTGCCAGATCCCATACTCTTATGATTACTTTGATCAATGTATGGATTGACAATTAATTAACCCCCTATTATATGGAGGGCGGAAACGAATAGTTACACTTGTGCTATTCCTTGTAATTTCCAGTCGTTGATTGGACCGAATTGACCGGTTTCTGTTTTTGTACGGGTTCTTAAGCGTATGCTTCGATACTGCCTGTAGTTTCCTTTTGGTAGTAATGATAGATAGTGGCTAGCAGTGGAATTTAGGACGCATGGGAATATAGAGACATCCGCGTAAAAGCCAATATGCCAACAGAGATCGATCGATTCGATCCAATCAACGACGAGGAATCATAAGCAACGACATCGAAACTATACTAATCGCACAAGGAGTTACTATCGTCACTCATTAACCTAGTGGACACCGCTCTGATGTTTGAAGGGGTCGATTCCGGGTCCGAGTCCGAGTCCTAGCAGGAACAATTTCCCTCACTGGGGGATGATGAGTCCTAAACAGAATGAAACATGCCTCCTGGACTCCACGAGAAACGTTGGAATTATTTGTTTTAAACACGTTTAGGTCTACAGAAATATAATATATTTAATGTTGTTTTTATAGTTGTATTTTTAGAATTTAACTGAAGTCCATTAATCCTTAATCAGTGTATAGTCACCACCAGGATGTTGTTCCGCAATCTGATCCAAAAATCAGCTAGTTGCACAGATAATTATCAATCTTCAAGTTCATGTGACAACGTGGCGTGGTATAGGTTGCTGTATATAGTACCTTGCCTCTTCTTATTCTGGTTACAGTTACTGTTATCATATAGTGTATATGCACAGAAATATGCATTACGTTTCATGACTACAAAGTTGACAGACTTTATAGCTCTTCTAAATTTACTGTATTTATCCATAGTACTTGTACAACAGTACTACTTACAAACACCTTAATTAAATTTATTGACCAGTAATTCATATACTTTTGCATTCATAACACACATGATTTTCTTCCGTTAATAAGACACTACCATGTTAGTTGGTTGAAAACAATGGATAGGAAGCCTTGTTTGGCCGAGGTTTCATGCTTGTTGGTACTCATCAACAGGGTGCATTTGGAACCTTGAGGCAACTGATGTTCCGCCTGAGATTCGAACCTGCATCCCTTAGTGTTGCATTCAGAGACGCTACCAGTGAGCTGTTTCAGAAACCACTATGTGTGAAAGCAAATCTACTACATCTTTTAGTGATGCTAATTTAATGCTGCTAACTATCGACCAGTGTCTGACAGGTTGGTACCACTCCACCAACAACTGTAGCTCCCTTACACAATAGATGTAACCACTTGTTCAATGAATGACTACCTGAAATAACCAATCATCGCTGGTTCGAATCCCACCGTGGCCCAAATTTTCACTTCAACTTCAATTATCACCCAGTATTGAGTAATTTACTCTCATCAATTTATATTTTTCTTTAAATAGCCTACAGTGGGTTTGATACCATTTATGTTAGTGGTGTTAGCAATCCAATTTAACGGATTAATTATAAAAAAAAGGTATTTTATTAATGGACATAAAACTCACATAATGCGGTAATGGATTATTTTTTTGATCAGCACATCCAGACCACATATAATGCATAAAGTGTAAATCTTGATTACTTTGTTCACTTAATACACTGGGATTATTCGGTTGGATATCTGAATCATCATAATCATCATCACTCATAGAACATGAACTTGGAGTGGTTTCCAATTTAGTGAGAACTACTTTCAAACTACGATTTGTATCGATATCAATTTGATTGCAAGAATCTTCATCCACTTGCATTGAATCTTGAGAGATATTTGATAGCTGATATTCATTTGAAACTGTTGAAGAATCCTCATCAGTATAGGTTGGTTTACATGGTTCAGATGAAAGTAGTTTTGATTTTGAATCTGTATGCACATCACATGGGCTACTGGAACGACGTTTCATTGGTATAAGACTAGTATAATCAGATGACATTGGAGAATCTTTGCCATCACAACGGTTTTGATCTTGAAGTAAATTAGCAGTCATGTTTGAGTTCAATTCTTTCGTCACTTTACCTAAAGTGAATTACGTATGAATGAGATACAACACTTACAGTAATATATAATATATATATGACTCACTGTTTTAGTCTTCAATATAGCCTTCCTATTTGAGCCCCTTTCCCATCCTCACCCCTTATCTCTTCCCAACCTATCATACAAATACCTATGACAAGTATCTACGTGATCAGATTGTTTGAAACGTGTTGCGCAGACACTACACGACTTAAACAAATTACGCGTATTTATTGTTTTGTCAAAGAACATTGTCAAAAACGGAGATAACTAAAAATTTACTACAACCAAACTGGAGTTAATACATGAGTTACAAGTGAAAAAGATCACTGTAAAATGTTTGAAAAGCGTTTACCAATAAGGTAACGCGATGATGATATTTCAGAGTGAAAGCTGGTGACGCACTATTGTTGTTGTTGCTTGAAAATGTGGTCGTATACTTAAATGTTATGTATAGATATATCGAGTATACAACTATGGAAAGCGATGGATCAAACCAGCGTTCATAAAATGAAGCAGTGTGATGATGAAATGTATTTCCATGTGAGGAATTTCATAATACGTAGCACTAAATGAGAATGGTGTTACAAATTAAATCTAGATAGAGACGTTTTTTGAACGACTTAAAAAGCTACGCTAGCAACTGCTGAAATGGCCAATCAACTTTCGACATTTCGGCTAGGATGGTAGTTATTTTTAAAATGAAGAAACATGATTGGTTATCTCAGCAGTTGCTAGAGTGACCTTGAGAGTCACTCTGTTCTTCGGGTCACTTACGAATACCAGTCGTTCGCCCACATGGAGTTTTGAAGTTCAGGAAACAATTCTAAAATGACCCATCTGTCAGATGAAATTTAATTCTTAACTTTCTTAAGGAACAAGTCTAAAAAAAATTAGATCATACTGTAATAAACTATATAAATCCTTTCGCTCAACTTCCTGAAAGAGTCAACGTAGATAAAGTTTCCAGTGTGACTAATATTGCTAAAGTTAAATCTAGTAGTTATTTGAGAGAGTGATTGGTTCAAAAATAACTTAAATCATGAACGTGGTAATAGATAAGAAATTATTGAGTACTATGAAGTACTTGTCAACTGGTTGATTTTTGAAACAATTAATCCCTTTAATAAATTTCGATAATGTTATTAGAACACGAAGAATATCTGAACAGTGTGATGTATTTGCGCAATACATTTCGAACAATCTGATCACACTTTTAACTTGTCAAGTCAATTTATGTGTGAAAATGAAAAGGTTGTGACACACTAGTCTTGGTAATATGATCAGATATCCATCCATCCAAGTCAGCATAGGACCAGGCATCACTGCATAACGGTCCGAGTTGCCACAGCTTATATCAGTGCATCAAGTAAAAAGGCAGTGAGGCGCAAGATGAAGATAAGAAAAATTAAGTCAAACGAAAAACATAAAGTACGAAAAGAGAGAAAGGAAGAGTGAGAAAATGGTGAAATTCGGTACAGCGTTAAGATGAGGATAATGTGTCCATACATCTGCGCCACTCACATCGGTGCTGAGCCATTATACATCGCCTAGAGTCTCCAACCACTGGTTCCTCTTGTCCACGGACCCCAACCGGCTAGTCTACATCGCCCCACATGACTCAAACCAACGATCAAAGACTTCATACATTGGTGCAATGTTTTGGTCTGGCCGCCTCGGGAATTTTTCCAGTCTGAGCTTATTTCGGTCAACATTGTGTAACGAAGCAGACAGCGACTAGGCATACGTAATACGTGTCCCAACCATCTTAGTTGATGAAGGTTCATAACCTTGTCAACTGACTAACCTTTTCTCCCTAAAACTTTACATCTGACTTCTGCGTTACTCACGTGGTGACACCACAAAAATACGGTCTATACTACGAAGTCAACGGTGGTCGAACACCTGAAGCCTTCTCATGTCTTTCACCTTTAATGGTCATGTTTTGCAGCCATACAACAGAACAGAGCGGACTGCTGTGCAGCGTTACCATCTTCCAAGTTTATATATGTTCAGACAGAAAACTTTCTCCAAATATAAATGCTTTGTAAAATACTTCCATTCGAACAACTGGGTAACACACAAACATTCACACATGAAGCTTGATTCATAGCCTAGAACATAGATGTGAATCGCTTAGTTATGTTTAACTATTATTTACTTTCTTCAGCCTTTGCTTCGACCATAACCAAACTCATAAACATAGGTAAAATTAACAGTGTAACATAATTCATACACAAAAACAAATTTGTCATATAAAATAAAGTAATACCAGAAGTTGCATCAAGTTGACATTCAAGGTGATGGAAGTGGTCGAACAAACTTTTTTGAATATAAAGGTTGGGTTTCTAAAGGTGAACTGCAATCGCCTCTGCTGTGTGAAGTAAGCGAGTGCATAATCCGTGTGGTAAATCAATTGGAATAAGATGAATAATTTTGAAAGCTTTTCTAGTATCTACTTGATATCCCGTGTCAACTAGGTGTGCAAGTATGGAGCTCTTTACTGTTCTAATTTGTCCCTTGCCCAGTCATAATGGGTGGTGCTCAGAAATTCGACGACGAACCTACTTGATTATACCCAACGTAACTAGCTCCACTGGAACAGCTGAATTGATAAATGCACATGGTAGTGACAGAATCCGGTAGTTTATCTTTATTTCTTGCACTTAGAATAGCGCGGTTGTAGAAGATGGGACATAATTTAGCGGCTGGGAATGCTTTGTGCAAGGCTCTTTTTAAGAGTTGTGTGATGATCTCATTGGCAATGTCAGGTTCAAGAAGATTTACTTCTTAGAAACGGTTGAAGTTCTTGTCTTAACCTTCGTAACATTCATACGCTTAGTTACAAACTTCGCTGGATAGCCATTCCTACTAAGCAGGTCACGAATGATGATGACCTCTTCCTCTATAGCAACATCTGAGCAAATAGCTGTAGCGCGGTATGCTAGGCATTTCACCAGGTTTCTTTTGTATTGGACGGGTGCGGTACTAGAGAAGTGCGTGTATTGACCTGTAGATGTTGGCTTTTTATATACACTTCGTTTCGGAGTTCCATCTAACCTTCTTACCATCAGAACATCAAGAAATGGGATACTGTCATTTTTCTCCTCTTTCATTGTGAAGTTGATTGCCGGATAAACACTGCTGAACTGATTGAGAACAGCACTCTTATCAATCTCACTTTCGAGAACTATAAAGTTATCGATACTGGGTGATGATTGAAAGTCAAATGAAAATTTGGACTGAGGCAGGATTCGAAACAGCAATCACCGGGTTTCCGGCCCGATGCTCTACCAACTGAGCTACGAGGTCCGACTGCTGACCAGATTTTTATTTCACTTCGATCACTATGGGTTTTGCCTGACTACTAGGTGAATTCGTGATGTATTACTACCGCTTGATCGCATTTACACTGGTATTATCCCATGTAACGACAACCATTCAGTCTTTTTTCCTAAATGTTTAAATTGGAATATTCAATATAAAATAAAACTTACTTAATGCGTCTTGAATAGATTTATCATCTGAGCCAAGTGAAATCAAAGGAGGATTTTTATGATGTGTAATATGTTTGTAAGCACAGTCTAAAGTTTTTCTAACGGCTTTTAACACTGTAGGAGTGAAATTTTGATCTGTCAGGGAGAGAATTAGTCGAGTAAAATCTACCAGCTCATAAGGGAATAAAAGAAAATTCTCAGACGATGGCATTTTTCCATGTTCCCAACAAGAAATCCATTGAGAAAGACGCGCTAGTTGACGCTTACGAGCAGCATTCAAAACATGAGCACAACTCATTCCATGAGCTACAATAACTGCTGGATCTTCTAAGTCTTTTGGAGAGAGACATAGCGTTAAAGGCGGTGGTGGAGCATAAATACGATCAATAATTTCGAACTGGAATAAGAAATAATTGTCATAAATAAAATATTGCTATGCGGCCATAAATACTAAAGACTGAAAATTATATAAAGTAACTCACCAAGTAAAAGCGAATTTAAGCCGATCACTTTCAACATATAAACAGCAAACCAGCTAGTAGGGTCCAACCCAGTATGGTTGGAAAAAGGGACTACTAAACGTGACCAGAAAAAACAAGGAATGCAATTACTACACGTACAAAGTAGTCACTGTTTCAAATCTACTCCATTTTTTGCCGCACATTTCTCTTCTAATTAGGTTGCAGGCATTCAACAGTACGCAACTTGGCCAATTGCTGGCATATAGTGAGACAGTATAGTAAGTAATATTCCCGTCAGACATAAAAACTTAAACACAAGATGTATTTCACTCAATAAGACTTTGACCTTGCAGCAACAGAGATGGTTAGGGTATGTTTTTACGCATACCCAAATGTCTCCACCTTCGAGATGCAATAGTATGTGGAATAGGATTGACTTACAAAAGCTGCAAGGTAACTAGATGAAAAACTGACCAGTAAAGTCAATAGTTTTTGAACTGCTTCTTATGGGTAATTGGACACTAAATGAGTACACTTTATGTCACACTAGAAATTAAGCGGATGAAAACCTCCACTGACAATTTCAAAGCAAAATTACACTCTTGGTTGTTTTGTGTTCTCTCAGCTGGGTTGTTTAATCGTGAAGCTTTCATCGCCTTGCTAGACGACATCATCAGCACTAACTTCAGTATGAAGTGAGCTGTCAATATCTCTCCGTGAGTGATTTAGTAGCTCGCTCTGACGATGTGGTCTGTGATTGGTTGTTCCCTTCGATTGTTGTGTCATTGGTTGTATAGACTTTCCTGTTGGCTGTTCCTCTGCTTCACCTCTCACCTTTCTGTCGTTTATCATTTTTCTTATTGGTTGATAGATCGGGTCTATGTCTATACATCTATTGATTGCTGACTGACCTGAATGCCAAGCTTCTAGAAATTCTCTGACATTCTTTCTGTTTCCTCTGTCCAAAATTTCTACATTGTCGAAATTCAATTCATGTCCATAGTTGTTATCCACGTGCATTGAAATGAGTGACGAAATGTCGTGGCGTTTAATAGCCAATTGGTGCTCATGTAGACGAAGGCGAAGAGGGCGGCCACTTTGTCCACTGTAGTGCTGACTACAGTTATTGCAGTTGATTTTGTAAATGATATTGGGTTTGTCTTCTTTGCTTGTAGCATCCTTTGGTCTGCATAATAGTGTTTGGAGGGAATTTGTTGGTTTATGAGCCACACCAATTCCAAGTGGTCTCAGCAATCTTGTTGTGATTTCTGATACATTCTTTATGTATAGTAGGGTGATGCGTTTGTTGATTTCTGTCGAGGAAACGATATCCCTCCTGATCAATGAAGACAAAAACCTTTCAGAACGCACAAAACTGAAATGTTCAAGTCTGATGGAACTCATCGACCTTTGTATGACAACATACTTCCAATTCAACGGCAAGATATACAAACAGATGAAAGGAACTCCACTGGGATCACCGATATCCGGATTAATAGCAGAAGCAGTGATGCAGAGACTGGAAGCCATTATTCTACCTGTGATCAAACCGAAAATTTGGATTCGTTGTGTAGACGACACTTTTGTCATCATTAAAAAGGATGACATAGAAAACACTCACAGTTTGATCAACAACGTTTTCAATTATATCAAATACACAATGGAGAAAGAATCAAACAATCAACTACCATTCCTGGATGTTTTAGTCAGTAGGACGAAAGTTGGAAACCCAAGTGTACAGGAAGCCAACACACACTGACCAAATCCTCAAATACAATAGCAACAACCCAACAACACACAAAATTAGGTGCGTGCAGACTCTATGCAAAAGAGCGAGAACACACTGCAACACAACAACACGAAGAAACGAAGAAAATTACTTGATGTCCACCCTAAAGAAGAACGGTTACCCATGAAACTTTATCAGAAGATGCCTATCCCATGCATCACCAACTACAAAGTCATCGACAGAAATCAACAAACGCATCACCCTACTATACATAAAGAATGTATCAGAAATCACAACAAGATTGCTGAGACCACTTGGAATTGGTGTGGCTCATAAACCAACAAATTCCCTCCAAACACTATTATGCAGACCAAAGGATGCTACAAGCAAAGAAGACAAACCCAATATCATTTACAAAATCAACTGCAATAACTGTAGTCAGCACTACAGTGGACAAAGTGGCCGCCCTCTTCGCCTTCGTCTACATGAGCACCAATTGGCTATTAAACGCCACGACATTTCGTCACTCATTTCAATGCACGTGGATAACAACTATGGACATGAATTGAATTTCGACAATGTAGAAATTTTGGACAGAGGAAACAGAAAGAATGTCAGAGAATTTCTAGAAGCTTGGCATTCAGGTCAGTCAGCAATCAATAGATGTATAGACATAGACCCGATCTATCAACCAATAAGAAAAATGATAAACGACAGAAAGGTGAGAGGTGAAGCAGAGGAACAGCCAACAGGAAAGTCTATACAACCAATGACACAACAATCGAAGGGAACAACCAATCACAGACCACATCGTCAGAGCGAGCTACTAAATCACTCACGGAGAGATATTGACAGCTCACTTCATACTGAAGTTAGTGCTGATGATGTCGTCTAGCAAGGCGATGAAAGCTTCACGATTAAACAACCCAGCTCAGAGAACACAATACAACCAACCTGAGCTACAAATATTCTCCATCATTTCAAAATTACACTCTATTCGTTACCTGGTGCATTCTTTATTTGGCATTCTTCGAACTGGAATGATTCCTTCTAATGCTATCCATTTTTTCAAGTTCTCTAAGCTTCTTTATCTTTTTAACAACGCTCGTGTTTGGTGGGATCATCATGTGAGCATTATCGAGGTCACCCAAAGGGTATTAGGCAAGACAAACAAGTCGATTGATGAGGTTGTGAACCTATGTCGACTGAGTTAACTTGGAGCTGTACTGCACATCCCGAGCCACCGTCTACCTCTATGTGCCATGCCATGAGAAGTTAGAGTAGATTGGGAAATGGTTTAGGGTGGATAGAAGATGTGTCACTAGTCGATGAAGTCTCTTACTGTTGGCCCGATTTGTGTGGGAAGATGTATACAACTTGGTAGGGGTCTCCGAGACGAAAGGAATCAGTGGTTTAGGATTATTGGTGACAGCTGGAAGTCGGTCACAATGGCATAGATGTATTCACTCCTTGATGTCTCCTAAAGCTTGGATATTTGCACTAACCATTATTTTCGAACAACTTTATCTACTTTGATATCAGTCTTTTTCTACCCACCTGTTCTTCGTGTACTACTGTGAAGTGTGGCAACTTGAGCCGCTGCATCAACGTACGAGATTCTACGTGGATTTTGTCAGTCAGTTATCCCGGCTAAATAGTCCACTAGATAATACACTCCTCTATCGGACTGCAGAGAAAGCTGTGACATTTTATCACGCTATTGGAGTATTTAGAGTAATTATTGCTTTCAGTTGAATGGCCTTCTTTATCCGATCTGAGATTTCATTAGTAACTAGTGGACATATTGCATCACTTCAACTCCCATCATTGAACTGGCAGTACTAGCAAGAGATCAGTCCTGGAGCATCATTTGATACTTGACAGGTGCCAGCGAAACGCATACCAAACAAACTCAGATTTGTGCTCAAGGCGTTCAGAGGACCCTGCATTTTTTCTGCATCTTCACCCACCAGAACAACATCGTCCGGAAACTTCAAGTCAACCAGATGACCTCCAGGGAGTAGGCCAGTCCATTAGTACGTCTATTACGAAGTTAGGTAGGAAAGGTGACAGTCGACATTTCTGGTGAACACCAGTAGTTGTTGTCAATTTATATGACATCTCTCCATAAGCCTTGACACGGTTGCATGAGTTCGAGTAGACAGCTTTGATAAGCGTTATTTGCTTGCCGGTTACTCTCTTCACAGTCAGATACTGACACAACACATCACGGTCGGTAGGGTCAAACGCCGCCCTCAGGTTAAGATATATGGCGAGTGTCGGCTGTCGGTAGGTATGCTTTCAAGTTAGAAAATCGACATCTGCGTCCCAATCAGGTTCATGCTGGAAGCTGGGTAACTAAAACGTTGTCGAGGGCCAGATGAACTGTCACAGAGTGTTCTGCCCAACGTTCTAGACGCCTGTCCTAAGAGGTTATCAGTGTCCCATCACTTTATACAGTAGTGTATGACACGTTGGTATGGAACATCGAAACCAAACGGGTTATAACAAATTATTATATCGTCACTATCTCTTGTCGTTTTCGTGATGCATAGCCCTCATAAAAACCAGATTACTTGGATTACCTTGACATTTGATTTCCTCAGCTCCATAAAAAGACCATGAATATAGTATGGTTTCAGTTTACAGTTTCTTATCGCCATAGAGGCAAATGCGTTTAGTTGTCCATTTATTTACCCTGAATTATGAACGGCTAGGAATAGAGAAGTTGACTTATTTAGAGACTACATTACAACAGCATAGTTTTCAGTTAATAGCGGTTACACAAACATGAATCAACTTTATATTCTAACTAGGACTGTTCTATAGTTCCTTTTCTTTCCTTCAACTGCTAGTTAGTATAGTTATTTTTAATTTTGTACACCCATATGAATAACATGCAGAATTATCATTACACCTTTAAGATTATCAATTTGAGTGAGATAGCTATGGTTTGGCAGACTTGTATTGATACTGTGTGATGGATTGAAGATGAAATCAGAATCTACGCTGCGGTATGATTCGAACCCAGAGGTCGGTGGTACTTTCAAGGTTGACAATAGGTGGGACTTAGCCTGGTACGCTGATATATGCAGGATGTTTAAACTGTATTATTATTACTCTTTGCTCATACTACACTTACAGATCAGTAGACAAGTACCACTGTTACAGTGTCGATTGGATATTTTGTAATGGAATTTCCTAACCGAGTGATGCATTATTAAACAGATCATTCCAAAAACATGGTACTCAGAGCAACAGATGAATCATTAATAAAATTTAGCGGGATAAATGGCTTCAATAATGGATGAAATATTGGAAAGTAGTTCACTAAGGAAAATTACTGAGGAGATGAAGTTTGTACAGTATTATACTAGCCATATGTAGATGGCATACACTGTGACGAACAGTCTGTCATGTCTATCAACAGGAAAACAGTGATATTTTTATGCAATCAATGAACCACAATCAAATTTGAAAGTAATATATCACTTTAGAAACTTACTTGTTCCTCGGTAAACTTATTCGAAAACGGATTTGTGTAGAAAAAGTGTCTAGATCAATATCCAAAATGAAAGACTGGTTGAGCAGTACACATATAATATCTGTACACACTCGACACAATGTATTTGTCTCGTGAATTGGTGCAACTGTTAGCCCAAACTTCACTGGGGAACTAATATCTTCTTCCATACAAAATACACCATCATTATAGAAATAAGATTCTGGGATGCCAACTCTAAAAATAAATACATATCAACACGTTGTTGAGAGTGACAATTGAATTACAGCTGCATGGTAACTAAAGTTTTACTTCACTATATATATTCACCTAAGAGAACTGTATGTCCATTTAGCCCGTTTGTGACCAATTATGTGAGAAATCTTTGACAATTGATCAGACATCTTCATCAAGTTTCATCTTGCTTCAGGTGAAATTGCACGTTAAGAAGGCATATATCTTTATGTGCAACACATGTCCAAGACACCTCAATTGGGGGACACTTCATCGAATGACTTACCTTTCTTGCCTGTGACCCTCCACCACGTCTAGATATTGCTCACATCGCGATCCCACCGTAAATCAGCAGTGTGGCGAAGATAACTGTGGTCAAAAATCTGCAGTCTCTTCACATTTACCTTCAACTGCTATATCTCCCACTTGTGTAGCAGGAGAGAGTAGATAGCAGTCCCGCATACCCAACCGTTACTAGACAGTTGGACATCTCGCCGGCGCCGGAGATTACATGAGTAAGTACATACTAACTAAGACTTTCATATCCTAGATGAGATTTTGTCAGCAGCCAACTCAATCTGGTTGGTGCAACTCCCCATTTAAGTGAAGTGGTCACTTCACTAGGTACAGACCAATTCTGAGGCATCATCTTACTACTGGAAGATACAAAGCACCCAGGTAGCACCATTAACCCTCACAAAATAAGTGTGGCTCATTGCCTAATGCATGAATGTCTGCAAGGTTGCTAGGTAGATTTCTATTTCGACAGATACAAAGCCAATGTCAAACATACTTAGGACTCTGCTCCATTCATTCAGAAAACTCTGCAATTCTCAGCGTTTTTGTCTAACAGGACTATGTCGTCTGTGCAACTCAAGTCAGCTAAATGCCTTCCCGCGAGTAAGTCAACCGCTGACAACTATAAGGTATGTCTATTTAAATCCATTTGCACGTCTATAACAAATTTAAACAGGGATGGTGATAGTAGGCATTCTTGGCAGACATCACTTGTTGTAGTTACTTCAGACGAAGACTCCCCATCAGCTGTTGCACACCTGAGCGGATTTCCGTAGGGAGCCCTGATTAGGGTGATATACTTGCTAGGTACTACTTTTACAGTCAGACACTGCCACAACACCTCTCAGTCGACAGAGTCGATTATCGCCTTCAGTTCAAAAATGTAACAAGTGTCGGGTGCAGACAAGCACACCTCTTAGTTACGAAACCTGTCGAAGGGTGAAAATGTGGTCGATCCACCTTTTTTCAGGTCTGAAACTTGCTTGGTTCCCTCGATCCACAGTAACGTTAGGATCTTAGATACGATGACAGTCGAACAGAGTCGCCTATGGTTCTCATTTGAATACTTCCCTCATATCTCATAAACTGAAATAATCAATGATTTATAATAGTCTGACAGGAATATTTCTGATTTCTGTAGACTAACCAACACCTTTGTTATTCTACCAATTCGTATGTCACCCATGTATCAGAACCACCAGGTAAGTAATACATAGGCTGTGAAGTTGTATACCATCACCGACTGTGATGAATAGGATAAGTCACGTAGGCTCTATAGAAATTCACATCCAAGCGCGATTCAAATTAGTTGGGATGAAGTTGCTAAGAAGTAAAGGGTGACCGGGTTGAAATGCAGCATCATTTAATGAAGCCTTTAGTTGTTCAATTGTCGTACTGCCTTGCTGATGACATTTGTGTGAATTTTTGCCGTAATGTAATAAGCAGGTCATATTATATATATATATATATATATATATATATATATATATATATATATATATATAGAGAGAGAGAGAGAGAGAGAGAGAGAGAGAGGAAGATAGCGAAGAAATTGAGGGGTAGTGTTCGACAGGTCATACACGAGTTAAAAGTACTACTAATGAGTGGTCGCAGCCAGTGAAAAAATTTATACTATATTTCATTTACCAGTCATGAAATATCTACATATTCCCTTTAGAGATCGTTAGTGAAAAATGATTGCTTCTGTATCATAACCACAATCTGGGCAGCCTTGCTAGGTTCATACATGGTGCGGACATTCCATGTCCCCACGTTTATTTTCACTTTCATCGAGAGAAGACAGATCGGTCAATTGGCTTCCCGAAAGCTTTCACCAACTGGCGTTATTTCGTCTCTCCGATTCCAACGAGGAACAAGTTTGTTTTTATTTTTTGCCTGTGCTTTGAAGTTTCTGTAGCGGTTGAATTGGTTTTACGGGGTAGGGTTACTAGCCTTATGCCCAACCTTCCCTCTTTACTCGGGCTTAGGACAGGGTAGTAACTAGTGAACTAGTTAACCAGGCGAGGTTATCATAACCACAACAACGAATTAAAATTCCAGTCGTAGATCTACGATATTTATTTCCATCATTGAAACGCGGATCCGCATCAGTAGTTACAAATATCACGAGTGAGGACATCTCTCATTTAATTTACTACTGTAAAACTTGAGGCGTTAGAAACCACTGACGCTGACCTGTAGATTCCAGCAGCCAGATAAAAGTGATCAACACAACGAACGAATACTTCGTTAGTTTCCAGTTCGTTACCTGTATACTGACAAATTCCGTATGCGCAGGAGTTGAATTGTCTTGATTCACCGAGCCTAGTCAGACAATCATTCTGCATCCATTTTTTCCCTATACTCCTGATTTTCTGCGAGTCACCTCATTTTACTGAGCTCCAAGTTGCTCAGTTTATCTTTCATTTCCAAAAGAAAATAAATCGTCTGTGATATGCAAATTGATTAAGAAGTTACTTTACTAACTTTTGATTTGTTTTTCACTGTTTATGTGCAAATGGATAATGTCATGCACCAACTAACTTAATGTATAACACTTGCCCTGAGAAGAAATTTCCCCTACAAGTTTTCTATCTTTGCTACTGCACCATAAATGAAAAGGAAACCAGACTACCCCAATAATGATAGGATTCACACATCTAAAACTGAGGTAAGCACCATTAATACACTTTGGAATCACTAGTTTAAACTCTTCCCTATCTCCTTTTATACCTTTCTCGTTTGTTTTAATGTCTTTGTGATCTCCCCAGTTTTCCCGTTATTTTACGAAGTGTCACAACTTGAACGAATTTAATCATGACTTTATATTTTTCTGTGGCGCTGTTCTGTCTACTTTGAACCCTAATCCAACATACGGAGGTTTAGGTATTCAGACGGTATACCTAACCTTCACATAATAAATGTGGTTAGAAAAGTAATATACGAATATGTATGTGGTTTGGTTTTATCGGAGTGTTAAAGTTTTCCACAGATTAGTGTAAGGAAAGAAAATAAAACACTTAACACCACTGTATATATGTTTATCAATTCAGTGAAGGAAAATAAAACACTGAAAAACTTACACAAGTCGTTTTGTACATAAATCTTCACCGATAGAATAACACGTCGGTTTCCTGTTCAAAAGTTGTCTTGACCATGAAGGATGCATCCAAATAACATGGTCTATATGACCCGCATATACCATAGGTGTTATCCAGTTTTCTATACTTACTTTCCTGAAGTGTAAAAGCATTAAAACCAAACAGGATACTTCATGAGTTGTTGAGGGTCCCTTAAAATTTCTGAACAGTCAACATCAGGCACCCCCATATCAGGATGCGAGTCAAAATGTAACAGTTTCAGTCCTGAGAAGGGAATCATTTTGCTGCCGATAGCTCGATATATGTAATTTAAAGCCTTGAATATGATTTAAAATGACTTACTTCATTGTGGCCCTCAACCACGACAACAGAGATAGGTCTAGACATATCACTTCAGAGTATACAAAGAGTAGTTGACTACAGTAAAAAAAAAAGAGTAGAGTTAGTGAGAAAACAACACTTACATTCCATAACTTTATCGAAGCTGTCTAAAAACTGAAACAGAAAATAACTGAGGTGCTGGATTTATGGTCGTGTAACAGTGAACTAGAATAAAAACAGAAATTTAGAAACGGTTATAACAGTTGGATAACTTTTAGCTGATAACCAGTACAAAGCAGTTTATAAAATAAAGTATGTATTCAAAATGCATACAAAATAATATTTGCTATCAAATGACAAAACTGCTTACCGTAAAAGTATAAATAAACAAGTTTTAGGAATAGTCTTTGTTTTCTACATAGCACAAAGAAGCCTGTGGTATCAATTTTCGTGATGTCTGAGGAATAATAGTTAACCGCTCAGACTTATAAAGATCGAGTTGAGTTTGAACCAATGACGCAGTGGTTGGATACCGCAGTGATAGATGAGTAAAGGGCTCTGCTTTTTCTAGCAAACCTACAAGTACAAAACTAGGGGTGTACCAAACACTATAGAAATGGAGCAAATAAAAGTGTGTTGTATTATTTATCCTATCTGACTACTCAGTTCCCTTACAGATGCATAAGCAGTTATTAGTTTTATATGTATCACTTATTAAGGAAACTATAAGCTCTTGAAACTTGGTTATACCAAGAGTACAGAACCCCTGTACTGCAACTGTTATGAAACAATCGTTAGTAGTACAGGAGGGAGATAAGTGAATGACGCCTGGTTGGTTTGCTGACAATTATATGAAATGGTTTTGCATGACTGAGTGACTAATGCCTACAAGTAAGAAATATTTGGTCAACTAACTGTGCTCGATTTATGACTGCCCTTAATACATTAAAACAGCAATAAATTTTGGGTACAGCGGTAGACTGTAAATCGACTTGTGTTATTACTAGGTGTAGCATACAATGAAGCGATATTATTGACTGGATAACAATTCGGACACAACTTAAACTACCAAGGTAACTTTGCAAAACTGAGATATGGCCAACATAGTTCTAATTCTCTCTTCTGCACATAAATGCAATCGGAATGATTCAGCATCTATTCCAGATATATGAAAAATCCCTCTAGCCATACTACAGAGAATCAGACAGAATTAGAACTACATAAACAATGTTTCAAAGTTGTGGAGTTACCTTGATATGAACATAAACGATAAATTGTGTCCGAAACGCTATACAGTAAACAATATTGTTTGACCACGGCATCTAATAAACAAACTAAAACAATAAGTTACATTGGCGTATTCACAACACAAATAAAGGATACCGCTGACATTTACGGGAACAGTTTCAGTGTAGCTTAAAATCTCGGATGGAATTCCTAAGGGCATTTTTAAAGTGCTCTGAGTCAAAGCCAATACTTTTCTGTGCAAATACTTATTACTTTACCCCAACCCCACGTTTATCTTAGATACTCTAAAGAAGTCATATATCTCGTATTGCATGTTAAGCAAATGAATGATTAGAATAAAAGATTAGCAGATAACACTGACTGACTGGGAAAATCAATAAAGAACCTCTCATACAGGTGTATCGACTCAAGTTGCCACAATTCACAGTAGTACACAAAGAACAGATGGATAGGAAAAGACTGATATCGAACAAGACAAAGTAGTTTCAGATAACAAACAATCACAAATAATAACTGACATACACCGCTTAAACATTAGACCGGTTTGTGGTCTTAAATTCAAGGTAATCAGGTGAAGTAAATGATATGTACTGCATAAACTTGTCAGCTGATAAGATGTTGGAAATGCTTGTATTCCCAAAAAGGTTGTTTTCAGAATTTAGAAAGGGAACTAGGAGATGAGACGGTATCCCTATCCTACTACCTTATGAAAATTAAAACGAGTCGGATAAATCGGATTTTCAACCTACGCGAATAAAGTCTTTTTGCGAATTAATACGGCATCATTTAAATGCTTTTACTAATGATGTTCTCGTAACAACGACAGCCCTAATTGTCATAGGAAATTTTTCTTGTGCCTGGGGAAGTAAAGCTCGGAAAGTCACCGGATCCTGCTTGGATACGCTTCAGATCATCATTGTAGCCGTATGATTTTGCTTACAAACCACTATAGTGCTACTCATAGTATTCTTAAACTAGTCACGATATACCAAGGTTCTAGGACACCATGGTTAGTCATGTATTTAAGAGAGGCAACAAATAATTGGTAGCTTATTGTCAACTTTACTAGTGCAGTTGTTAAGATATTAAAGAAAACTATTCAAAATCGATTGTTGAGGCATATCTCATCGGAAAGTAGGAGTTGTAGTAAGGACGCAGAAGATTGATAAACTGAGTCTTGATAAGTACAAAACCCTCTCATCAAACATAGTTGACGAACAGTCTCTGCATCCTACATCAGAGACCAGTTGACCTTAAAATTCTGTTGTTTTTCCATTCGCCTTCTGTATTTCCTTTCTATGCTTCTCGTTTCCTCTCTCAGAACCTTTACGGATTGGATGGTAACTAATTACTTATCGCAGAGACATAATATACAACTTGAACATAATCATATTATGACATGGGACAGTGACAGTTCTAAAATCCAGCATAGCTAGGTGGAGGGGAAGATTGACTACAAAATATCTGTTCATTGAATCAATACCTAACATATTTAACAAGAATGATTCATCACATATTCCAGACGTCTGGAAGATTTTACCATCACCAAAATAAAATGAAGAACAGTTGGACAATAAGTGAAGCGTTGATATGCTTATGAGCAATAAATTCTGCTCAAAACGTCATCCAGTAAATAATACTGTATCACTGCATGCTATATCAAGTGATCAAATATGAAACTATTCTCTACCACAGTATCCAAGTTTTGCCGTTACACTTACATCTGTTCATATAAGCAGCATTTACCAAAGAGTAACGTGGCTTTTAGGTTAATAACTGAGGGTTGATTAGTTTTCAAGATTGAGGATAGTAGGTCAACGTCCTATATAAACTTTTATCAGTGATTATACTACGGAGACATAAACTCAAGTCGAAAATATCAACAGGTGCTCATAATATGTATCCCGGTGCAGAACTTTATTTTTTGCAACTCCATGACAAACTGATTCTCAGATGTAGACGATCTGATCATGATTTCCGAACTCTTTGGTGACATCTCAGAAGGTAAACTCCGGAAAGAATAAATAGGACAAATGACTGTCATATTGCAGTAAGACAATGGAATAGGAGTAGACCGATTCTGCTGCTCCTAGCAGGAAGCGCTAGAGATCTTTTACCACAGTAGTTACTTTCTTCTGGAACCATTATAGTGGCTGTTTCATTTAAAGCATGGGCTTACTGTTTGAATCCCATGCCCCAAATGAGTTTCTGAATATTGCGAATTTGGATTCAGGATGTACACTAACCAAAGATCTAAAGACCTTCCGTAGGATTCACAAGCATTTAAAACCTACAGAAACCAACACACTACCATTAGGTGAATTTTCGAGGCTGTTTAACTATGATTTTCGAGTTCTAATATTCAGAAACTTTAGTCAAAAGTATGATATTAATTAAAAACTCAGATCGTAGTGATTGATCCGTATGATGACCAGTGCATTTAAGTCATTCTACACTAGTCTATCCTCGCTACCAAAAGATTTCACAAAGTTTGACATAATCCGCAAAGACAACAAATCCAATCGTTCTCCGCAACCCATTGACAAGTATTAGGAAGAGAAGTGGACCTTAAACAGCACTTTGTGATATTTGTCTTCAACCGGACAAGATCCTATTAACACACTACGTTGAGTGACTAAGGTAGTCCTTAATCCAGACCCTAACCTAACTATCAATATGAAAACTTTCCAACCTTATCATGAAACTAATGTGAGATTTTACCGAAGTCCTTGTCAGAGTTAACAAATATAGCCAGTGTATTTATATCTATAATGACCGCTCAATCCTATGTTTTGGTAAGGTTTGTCAAGTGAAAGCCACATTTGCAATACCTAGAAGCGTATTCCCTCCTGCATGTGCCAGAATAGCACCAAAAAAGGTTTTCGAAAAATTTCAATATGCCCATACTAGTCGAACTGAAAGGACAACAGATGGCCAACAAATGTCTACGACCAGTTACATAGAACAGACTGATGACTGCATCCTTTCAATACCTGGGCAACTGTGACTAGACTAGTGACAGCAAACAGAAGAACTAATGTCTTAGCAATGATATTTACAAGTGCTAATAATATGCAGACGTGCAGCTAATTCAGTACACAAGATATATCAGAGTTAAGGTTTTGGAATATTCTTAGGATGATATCCTCTCCAATAAGTATTTCAATACGTGTAATGTTTACAGTGAGGAAAGTCAATGTATGGGGTCTAAAATCATTAGAAAATACTTAGTTGAAGTACTACAACAAAGCACTGCTCTTCGTTGATTCATTATCGGTTATTTTTAGTGGACTTTAATATAGCAGTAAGATTCGGATACACCCATTAACCTTTTCTCTTCATGTAAGAAAATTAGTACAACCAAAAAAATGATGAACTAGCTTCACCTTGCATGTGGTCTCAGCTTTAATGGTTATACTTTTGCACTGGTGTAAGGCCTAACTACCCGAAAGTAAATCCGTTAAGAGTGGGGTAAAAAGAAAGAATGAAGTCTTTTCCTACGACAAAGTGCTTTCATTACTTGTCTAGGTAACCAGGGAGGGGATTTTTGATTATATGTTGGATGAATCTTCTGCGATCAGGGTAAATTTTGTGAAGGCTAATCGATAAACCGCTGGCACTTATTCATCAAAATCTTTATTGCATTTGACACCCAACCAACTGGGCTTACTGAATTCGAGATCCAAACCAATATACGAGAGTAAGTTAAGGACCATTTACAAGAACACTACCAGCGTAAGAGTTAATGGAATGGTTTAAATGATAACCAGTAACTATTCAGGTTCTTACGGGTACTCTTTTATGGCTCTTACTCCCAT